TTTTTTTAGCACTGGATCTAATCGCCGACTATTACTACTAAACATATAAACCGAAGTTCAAGGATCCAAATAACTCAAACAAAGCGGAAACATGGTTTAAACTATATTAAAATGATTTTATTTATCAAACCTGTGGTAGTTTAGTGATAACACAAAAAAGTTGGTCAAGTCTCATCTTCAAACTTCTTTCAAATGAAAGATTAATTTTTAAATCAGAATATCTAAATATTGACTCTATGTATTGAAGAGATTACGAACCCAAGCTCTGACGGTTTATAAAAAAAAAATGGTTTACAAAACGACAAATTCTATGATATAGTAAGAATCGTTAATGGCCTATATGATACACACACAAAAAACATATAGTCTCACACAACTTACCCGCCGAAATATGGTAAATGAGTGTCCCTAAAATAACCCTCCTCTGTTTCTCCCTGTCTCACTGAATGCAAAACAATTGCTTATAAAAACCATATCGTGTCCTGACTTGTTCTTCCACACACAATCTATATAACTCTCTCTTTCCATCTCAAAAAAGCTAAGAAGAACTCGGAAGCTTCCACGTTTTAAAATGGCAACTTTCTCCTATTTCCAACATTACCCTAATTCCCTTCTTGACCCTGTTCTCTTCCCCACACCTAACTCCTCCGTTAAGCTCTCTGGTTTCATCAACCAAAACACTGCCACGATCGAAGACACTTCCTTGAACGCGTTTCTTGATTCGTATTATGCTGACAAAACGGAAAACTCTGGTCTTAAGAAACAGAGCAACACCAACACAACCGTCGGTGCTTCTTCTCGAGACGAGCTAAGCCACGGACCAGCCACCACCTCAGCTGGAAACAAGCGTAGGAGGAATAACAGGAAAGGGTCTAACTCCATGGTAATGTAGCATGTATCTCGTGTTGGGACGGGTTGTTTTTATAGAACTATTGGGACGGGTTGTTATAGACAAAAATGTAAATGTAGGGTTGGCTTTTTTTTAATTAGGAAGGAGTGGAGGAGAGAAAAAGCAAAAAGCAGAGAAATGGTAGCCCAAGCGACGTCAAAGAAAAGAGAGGAAGAGGAGAAGAGCCTCCCAAAGATTACATTCACGTTAGAGCCAGAAGAGGCCAGGCTACAGACAGCCACAGCCTCGCAGAGAGGGTATTATAGTCATTTTTTCTTCGATCGTTAAAATAAGTACATTAAATCATATGTTTCCCAAGCAGATTAAAATTAATATTAATTGAC